TTTGCTTGAAACCAGTGTTCCCTGGAGAAAGAACGCGTTATATTAATCTACGAGTACTTTGTTGACTACTAAACGTCAGGCAAGTTGCGTATTTTGTTGTTTAAGTGGGACAAACTGCACATTACTTTTTTAATTTTTCTATTCAATTGCGATATTCATATTTCCAAATCACCATTTTGGCCTTTTACCTAGTCTTAGCTAAGATGTCTCTTCAATACATCTCTATCAGCCGTCATAATACTTTCTTGTTCATGTTACATACTCAAATATTTTCAGAATTAAAATAGCTACAATTTTTAAACTTCGCTACAGACATAAACATTTAAAGTTATAGTAAGATTTTAGTATTACGTAAGTTAATTCGAATAGCGTTGAAGAATTTTTAAAACGGCACAAACCATATAAGCGTCCAGTAAAAATAACCGGGAGAGAGCGGCGCATAGCAAAAAGTTTTACTGCCTTACTTAGTTAATTGAAACAATTAACCGGGGCTCACGTAATAAAGGAAACTGCGACGCGTAAAAAGCTTCCGGCTTTTAGTTCCTACAAAAATGTTGGCCTTCGTTTTTTAGAGATCCGTGGTCTATATTATCAAACGTCTAAGAACCGTTTTTACTCTGTATTCAATTATTTTCATATTTTAAGACATACTCATCTTTTATATTAATTTCAAATTCAAAATACCATGAAATCTATATTTTGTTTCTACCTCACTGTTCGTTTTTTACAAGTTTTCTGTTACTTTATAAGAAATAGTGGCACCAATGTTTCATTAAAAAGCCCTTATAGTTAATGACAGTACAGTTTGTTAAATATTTGTAACTTTCCAATGATCTTGAATATCTCATCTCATTTAAATTTACATTAATATGTTTATTGTCCACATAAGTTAGAAAAGAAATATTTTATTTATTATAAGGAACCCAAGTCCATGCCACGATCAAAGTTAACTAGTTTTTCAGTAACAATAAAAACTTTGTGCAATATTCTTCCATTCAGTGTCGAGACGGAAATATATTCGGACGGGAGGGAGACGGAGTTAAATTAGCCGTATGTCAGAGAGGGACGAACAGAGTGGAGATGTTGAACTATAAAATGTAATGGTGCACAGTTAAAATTAGCAAGGCGTACAAAGTTAAGTTGTTACGTTTGTCAGAGTCGCCGTTTCAATTTTATTACAATTTTTATTTTATATGTTTGAAGTTTTCAGTGTTTTACATGTATGAATGGTAGATACGGAAGAGTTGTTTAGGCACCGCATTAAATGATTTATTTCTGTCTACTCTTCTGGGGTACGTGATGAATTTAACTCGTAGTATCTAGCTCAGTACCAAGGTAAAATATTCCTAAAAAAATGATTGTCTGTGCATTTTAAAAAAAAGATTATATAAATATTACATGCCATAAAACATACGATAGTAAAATGAGAAAGAATGTTAAAAATAGCTTTACAATTTAATATATGAACACGATAAGGGTACAATTTTTTCTTGATATTATAGAAAATATGAGGAGCAGTGGTCGGAGCACTATTATTATTTTGTTCCATTGTCCAAAAACCTTCATTTAGTTAATGGCTTTGACCGCGAGTGTGTATTTCATAGCGCATACAATATCCGATAGTAAAATGTATCGCTGAATATTACTAAATGACTGGCCAAATATACATTTACTGTTAGAAGGTAAAATATGTATTATGTCATAGTTTTCTTTTACGTTTTAATAAAATTGAAACTATAACAAACAACATAAATTAATTTACTATAAGAGTGGAGTAAGTAAGCTATATGTAGTAAGTTTAAAAAAAAACAATTTTGTAATTGTATCTTTTTAGTTTCTTTTAAAAATAGTAGTCATTTTACAAACAAGAAACATTTAAATACCATTCTTTATCATCTTAATATCAAAAACTTCGTCACGATAACACAAAAAGGAATTTCATATCGCAAACTCATCAATAAATTCGAACGTAGACAGCATTTTGAAATATTTCCCTTAAAAAAAAGAACACTCAGCAAGTTGATTGTATCAGTGCGGGAGTTGGCAGTTTGTTTTGCGTCTCATGCCCGAGGTCGCCGGATAACTTCGTTCCGAAACTTGGATGAAATAATATTATCATTTCGAGTTCCGCTCGCCGTAAATACATACAATTAAAAACAAAACTCCGTCGAGTTTTCGGAGCTTTTTAGCTCAATTTTGGGGCATCTTAATAAATGAAATTAGTAGCAGTTAAATGTTTTGTTACACGATTAAAGTTACTTAGAATTTTCTTTATCCTATTCCAAAATGGTAAAGGAAACTAGAAAGAGGGGTGAAAACGATTTTAGCATATAAAGGGGATAGTGCTCGAAGTTTTCCATTCGTATCGACGAGTTATCAGTATGTAGGATTAAGGCCGCGGCACACCGCACCTCGGCGGTGGCAGGAAGCGCATCGAAAGCCAATAACCGCGCCAT